AGAGAGAGAGAGAGAGAGAGAGAGAGAGAGAGAGAAAGGAAAGAAGGAAGGAAGGAAGGAAGGAAGGAAGGAAGGAAGGAAGGAAGGAAGGAAGAAAGAAAGAAAGAAAGAAAGAAAGAAAGAAAGAAAGAAAGAAAGAAAGAAAGAAAGAAAGAAAGAAAGAAAGAAAGAGAAAGAAACGATGTGAGACACAATGATTGGTTGCCTCCCGCACCCACTACGACCAGAGCTAGGGATGGAACCTGCAACCTAGGTACTTGCCCTTGACTGGGAATCAAACCTGACACCCTTCGGTGCACAGGCCAACTCTCTATCAACTGATCCACACTAACCAGGGCATGGACCTATTTTGTAGTTAAGCTTTACAGTATAACTCGTCAGTGTCTGAAACAGAAATCACTCTTTTGTTATGAAACACAATGTAATATCAGTAGCTTTTAGGTCTGAGACAACATATAAAACAGGAATAATATAGAGTATTCAGGGTAATCAAGGTACAACACCCATAATGAGGTCCTCTCTTTAGTGTTTCAAGTACCTCAATTTGGTCAACAGGTAATAGGCCATAATTCTATAAGTTAGTATGCACCTGGGTAATCTATCAAGAAGCAAATGGCCTTAGAGAAGAATGCAGCAATAAAGATTCAGAGGAAAGCAAGAGAGAATAAAAAAAGAGACAGTGAGGAAGGTGCAATCATATATTTGTTGTTCGTGAATACATCTTCATTTACTTAGTAGCTGCAATAAAAGCAGGGCTAAAGTCTAGGAATAATAGTATTACTTAATAGGGTTTTGGAATTGGAATCTCAATACTGAAGTAGAAAAAAGCAGAAGTGATTATCAAAATATGTAACAGCTCTAATGAATAAGAAGTGTCCTGGGTAGGATTGGAGTTGGGTACTAAAGCCTCTTTGTCTGTTCGGTTGCTGGATGATAAGAAGATACAAGGTTCCCAAAGAAGGAGTCAGAATGACCAGGATACCCATGGTGAGAGGACTTGCAAGGTTGGGGAGAGCAGCTTCATACCAATTGGCATGGAGATATTTCAGCATGTTTAGTAATCAGTAGAGGTATGCTGGAATGGCAACCAAATAGCGGTCCTGGATACAAGACTCAGACTAGATTATTAACAGGCTAAGCAGGCAGAACTATCAACATTCTTATAACTTTCAAGGCTCTAAAATTAGATTGTGATAATTTACTTTTGCTCTTTGATTCTAAATAAGCTGGACTGTAATCTCAGTGAAAAGCAGTAACTGCATCAATTTTGTTCACCATTTATCCCTATCACCTATCACAGTGCTCAATAAATATTTGTTTAATGAATAAGTAGCCAGTCAGTTCCTCCTAGTACCTGGAGTGTCCTGAGGATACATCTATCTAGAGGATAGAAAACTCTGAAAATCATTCTGATCTTGAATTGGCCTTGGAGGTATGCTAAGAGTCCAGGTTCAAGCTGGTCCTATATTAGTTGAACCCTTAGATATCAATTCCTAAGCCTCATCTAAGGAAAAGAATACAAGTGTGCTCTACAATTAAATAGTGTCTCTAAAGTGGTGCTGAACCCTCAAAGGAGAGGGGCAGAACCACACAAGTCAGCAGAGTCCTGAGCTGTTCCTTAAACTTTTTCATCTACACAAATTCTATTTGGTAGATGTAGGTCCAGTTTACAACTGTAGAGATAAATAAATTTCAGGAAATAGCTTACCTATGAACTTCAGTCACTGTCAGAGGAAACCAAGGTCTTATGACAATTTAGGTCTCATGGTAAAGCGGCTCTATTCATTTTGGGAAGTAAAAACCAGAACTACATTGCAATTCTGTAATCTACAAATTTCTCATCTTTACAAAAAATAGCAGAACAATTCAAAGAATTAGCTGCCTATAACAATAATTCAGAATTTGTAAGTGATGTCAACATACTGTAATTTGATTTTCATCATTTTATAAATATGTTCTTTTTCATTTTTTATTTTTTTAATTATTTTTAAGGGATTCAGATTTTATTTATCTAAATGCAATGGTGTATCTTTTTTTCTATTTTATAGATATGTTCTTAAATATAATTATTTGAAGGCTATTTCATAAAATTGTGACAAATGATGCTATACCATTACACTATAATAATTATAAAACCAACAGGAAATAATAAGAACATTTTAATAAATTTTTACTAGACCTTGAGGAAAGGAATACAACAACATGATTGGAGAAGAAAAGTCCTAAATTCCCAATAAGCATTTTTTTCCAAAAGACAGTTATCTTGATTTTAACTTATGAGAACATTTTTTTGCCATCATTTATTTATTTTTGCTTTCAAATATAATTTTATTTATCATGGATTTTCACACATACATAACTGTGTATGTGTAAAAATCCACGTGATCACTAATGCACAAATCTTATTAATATATAATGCAATCATAATAATTCTACAACAAATAAATACAATCTTATTTTACAAGCAAAAGTGCATGCCGATCATTTTACTATATCTAGGAGAAGTGTACTAGTAAGCTGCTAAGTGTAGAGTTTTGTTTCCAAGTCTGCAATAAAACAACATTATTTTGGGTATGTTTTGTTACTTAATTTACTTAGTTTAGATTTCAAAATCACTATAACATCCTGTTGACTTTTATCCTTAACCAAGATCTTGATTGAGGATAATCTGAGAAGTGTCAAAAATTGCCAAGAGAGCCTCTTCATTTCTAGATGGTGGTTCTCTATGTACTTTGTCCTATTTACCTGTATGTTTTCTTTCCTCTCAACCCTTAAAACCACCATGCACACATGACATAAAAAAGTTGATGCCTGTCTCGGGAAAGTTAGAAAGCACCAGGTTTCTTTTTCCCCCTTCAGGGGAGAGCGCAAACTCAGTCCCCCACTACTACAAATTATGCAGTCAAGTTTCCCACATTTGGGGAAATCTCAAGGGTCAGCACATCTGGAGTGCAATGGATAAACCTCACCCTGGGACAACCACCTTCTTGATCATGGTATCTCCCCTGCCAGGTAAGTATGGAAAGCACCAGGTTGCAATTGCAAATTTCAATGTCAAATTCTATATTTTCCTTAAGCCTTTCTTCCATACTTTTCCAATGCTATTTTTTTCCCAATGCCATTTAAATCCAACTTTAGTTTGAAGAATTTCCTTTAGGCTATTCTTACTGTCAGTGTCAAAATATCTGTATGTATGTTAAAAATAAAAGAAAGAATAAGCATAATCCATAAGATTTTAAATATTTTTGTGGCAAATAAATGATTCTGTATGATATCATTTCTAGTGATCCTTTCAGTAGCTGAAAGCAATAATCCTTTCCTCATCTCAATTTTGTACCACTTTTGTGGTAAATAAAGCTGATGAGCAAGAGTGAGGTAATCAATTTGGGGTGCCAGTGGCAATTAAATAAATAAGCCATACAGAATTTACAAACATGAATGTGGCAACCATTAAAGATGTCAAAATAATTAACAAACATGGTCATACAGCTTAATTATTAAAATTGTCTCATAAAATAATACAGATATACCATTGATGAAATCATTTCTGTTTTCTATTTATTGATTTTAGTGAGAGAGAGGAATGGAGAGAGAGAGAGAGAGAAAGAGAGAGAGAGAGAGAGAGAGAGAGAGATTTGTGTCCCGACTGGGAATCGAATCCACATCCTTGGCGTATGAGGATGGTGCTCTAACCAACTGAGCTATCCTGCCAAGGCCAAATAATTTCTCAAAAAATGTAATAATCACAGCCCAAAGGAGGTCTGATGTGACCTGATAAAGCAGAGAAAACTATTGTTACTCCAATCTCTTAAGTCAGTGCAAGGAACCTATAATTGGTTTTTATATTACACTAGAGGCCCAGTGCACAAAAATTTGTGCACTCGGGGGGTGAAGGGAGGGGGGTCCCCCAGCCCGGCCTGTGCCCTCTCACAGTCTGGGACCCCTCGGGAGATAACGACCTGCTGGCTTAGGCCTGCTCCCGGCTGGCAGAGGGCACGCCCAATCCCTAAGTGCAGCCACTGGTCAGGCTCAGAGCAGGGCTGATTGGGGAGTTGAGGCGCCGCCCCGTCATGCACAGAGCAGGGCGGATCAGGAAGTTGCGATGCCACCCTCAGTCACGCTCAGGGTAGGGCCGATTGGGGGGTTGGGGCACCGCCCCCTGTCACACTCAAGGCAGGGTCGATGGGGAGGTTGCGGCGCCACCCCCTGTCACGCACAGAGCAGGGTGAATCAGGGGGTTGGGGAGCTGCCCCCTGTCACACACAGAGCAGGATCAATCAGGGGGTTGGGGAGCTCCCCCATATCAGGCACAGAGCAGGGCTGATCAGGGGGTTGGGTAGCCTTCCCCTGTCATAAACAGAGCAGGGCGGATAGGGAGGTTGTGGCCCCGCCCCCTGTCACACACAGAGCCACAGGGCGATCAGGGGGTTTGGGCGCTGCCCCCTGTCACGCTGATCCCGGTGCCGGGAGGCATATTACCCTTTTACTATATAGAATAGAGGCCTGGTGCATGGGTAGGGGCTGGCTGGTTTGCCCTGAAGGGTGTCCTGGATCAGGGTGGGGGTCCCCACTGGGGTGCCTGGCCAGTCTGGGTGAGGGGCTGAGGGCTGTTTTCCAGCTGGCGAGTGACTAAATCTTCCAACCGCTCCTTGTTTTCTTTTCTTTTTTTTTTTTTTATTCTGGGCCAGCTTTAGCTCTGAGGCCTCGCTGCTGAAAACATGGATACAATGTTTCGGTCTGGCTGGCTTTCAGTCAGGCTGGTTTCTGTAGTTTTGTTTAGCTTCTTATTTGCAACATAGTACATAGTTGGTTAGAGTTGCAGTTGAGAGGCCGGCAAGTGAGGCAGGGAACGTTGGAGTCCGCAGCAAGCAAGCCTCATGTTCGCTTCCAGCTGCCTGGCTGCCGGCCGCCATCTTGGCTGACAGTTAATTTGCATATACTCACTGATTAGCCAATGAAAAGGGTAGCGGTCGTACGCTAATTACCATGTTTCTCTTTTATTAGTGTAGATGTGATACAAATTCCCTACTTCTCTGTTTTGATATTTGTAGGTTAGGAGTGCTGAATTCAGAACTGTTTCCATGGGAAATGTTATAGAGATTACATCTTGAAAAAGAATGTAGGAGAGCTTCCCGGGCTTTCGAAGCCTCTACATTCTGCTCTTGAGAGATTTGAAGGCTAAACTGATTTACATTATTCATTAGCAAATTAGAAGCCATAAGGTTGGTTATAGAGAGGCACTTAGTGAGATTTTCTTCCAAAAATTGTTTGTAGAGTTCATCCAGCTTGTTTTCCATATACTTATTAAGCATAGAATTAGAGAGAGGTTGCTTATGAAACAACATACTTTTTTCTCGAATTTCATCCCCATTCAAAAGTTTTGAGGCAGATAGTTTCTCTAGAGGCTCAATGATGGGAGAATGGCCCAATGGTATATCTACTGAAAGTAAAAGGGGACCATTAAAAGCATCATCACGTATGTGTTCCACAAAGCAGCCTGAATCATACATGTTGCCCACGTGGTCTCCTCCAATCTGTAGGTCAGGATAATTCTGGCAAATACTTGTAGATGACCAAGATCGGTATAAATCCAGTTGTCTTTCATCACATTGTTCTCTTTTTGGAATGGGCAGCGCAACAGACAGATTTCCTGGAAAGGATGCACTTTTGCATTTTGGTACAGTTATTTCATCCACAAATTTTATTTTATTTGTATCATTAATTTGCTTTGTTAAACTTTCTTTGTCGACCTTTTGTTGATTTTCTATTTTATCAGGAGAAAGTGAATTGTCTTCTATATCTAAAAGCTGCTTTTTCCAAGTTTCCTTTTCATCATTTGAGGTCTTCTTACATGTAAGTGGTTTACAAAATGTTGTATATTTCTGTTCTTTGTATAGGAGTTCAATTAGGAAGGCTTCTCCAAGCATTTTATTAGTCAAGATTTCTAAACAGAAGAGTGCAGTATATTCCTGAAATTATAAAAGAATCCATTAAGGCAACATATATTAAAATGTCAAAGTAAGATGTTTCTTCTACATGAACCACAAATGATTTAGGGAGGTAGTGTTACTCAAAAGACAGAGAATAGGACCAGGAATAAGGAGATTTGGGTTCCAATTAGGCCATTAACTTTTTAAATTTAAATTCTTTATCGTTTAAAGTATTACATATGTCTCCTTCCCCCCCCTCTCCCCATTGACCTCTCGCCGGCCGCTCCCACCCCCCAGCACATGCCCTCATGCCCCTACTGTCTGTGTCCATTGGTTATGCTTATATGCATGCATACAAGTCCTTTGGTTTATCTCTTACCCTCCCACCCTCCCCTAACTTTTTAATATTAGGTAATTTATTTATCATTCCTGGGTCTCAATTTTCTTATTACTTAAATGGTGATAACACTCCCCTGCTTTAATCACAGAATTATTGTCAGGATATTATATGATGTACATGCAAGTGTTTTAAAAAGTACAAACTTATGCACCATCTTTATTTCATCTTTTTCTCTGCAAATGACTGGATCTTCTAGAGCAGCGGTTCTCAACCTGTGGGTCGCGACCCCTTTGGCGGTCGAATGACCCTTTCACAGGGGTCGCCTAAGACCATCCTGCATATCAGATATTTGCATTACGATTCATAACAGTAGCAACATTACAGTTATGAAGTAGCAACGAAAATAATTTTATGGTTGGGTCACAACATGAGGAACTTATGTATTTAAAGGGTCAGAAGGTTGAGAAACACTGTTCTAGAGCTAAAGAGTCATACAACCAAACACGTATGCTGGGTACATCGCTTGCAATCTGGGGCCAGAGTTGCAGCCTGAAGGAAGTGTGTAAAAAGAATGAAGGCTGTGGGTTTTAATCTACAGGTAGCTGGACATAAGGCCAAGAGTTTCCAAAAACACTGAGAATTCAAAAGCATCACTTGTTATCCCATATTGATAACAAGCCATGATAATGACTATGTATTAAACTATTGAGAGAGAAAGAGAGAATGAGTGACTAAATCACACTAAACCATTTGATGCTGTCTTAAATGACAGGTTAGTAACAACAGCTATGTCTAGGTCCTATGCATAGTTTAGTCATAAAGGGAAGTTACAGCAAACTAGGCCAGCACAGTATTTCCGTCTTGTCTAATTAATCAATTTCAGCCTCCCCTCTTGTTCCTTGGACAAAGAGTAAAAAGAAGAAAAGTAGAGATTGAAAGGAGAAACAAAGTAATGGAATTATATCAATCACTTTATATTCATTCCAGAACCTGTTCAATGTTTTATAATATAATGTTCCATAAAAATAAATAGATCAAACAATAAAAAAGTGCAAACTTATACAAATGTTTAATTATATATGTATATATATTCAGCTGTCACAAATGATTTATTTTAAAGTTATTAATGCACCTAACCCTTTCTTTTTCAAAAATAATTTTTGATGTTGACACTGTTGTAGATGTCCTGCTTTGTCTCTTCAAATAGTCAACTTAAAATCAAGCCTGCCATTAAGACCTTGGTCTTAGTTTAACTGTGTTTTAATTACTGTAATTTAAATCACACAGTGAAAAAAACTTACTATGCCTTAAAATGTGTACAAGGAATGAATATTTAATTATACATAGTTTAAACTCATGAATACTTTCAGGTTTAAAATATAAATATAGCCACTTACTTTTCAATAATCTAACTTGAAATAGAAATTCATAGAGATGGAAAGTGGAAAAGAGATTGTCAGGGGCTGGTGGTAGAGGGGAACAGGGAATTAGTGTTTAATGGGCACAGAGTTTTAGTTTTGCAAGATGAAAAATTTCTGGAATCATAGTGGTAATTGTTGTACAACAACATGAAAGTACTTAATGCCCTTGAATTGTACACTTAAAAACAGCTAAAATAATAAATAAATAAATAAATAAATAAATAAATAAATAAATAAATGTTTTGCCAAATTCACTACCATCCTTTTTTCTTTTGTCTTTCCCTTTCTTTTGACCTTCTCTCTCTCCCTTCACCTTCCTTCACTCCCTCCCTCCTTTCCTTCCCTCCTTTCTCCCTTCTTTTTGACTTAAATCTTATTTCACAAAGCACTTAATTCAGTCTTTTGCATGGTTTGGCCTGCAATTTTAAGAATCTCAATTTTTTCTATACATTCTACAAGTGTGAGAAAAAACAAAGGAGACTTGATTCAAGACACAATTTTCCTTTATAGGACTATAGAGTCTACTATAAATGTTTCCAAGAAACGTATTATTCTCATTTAAATGGGTTTTTTTGGAAAAAAATAAAAAAAAATACAACACAAAATATGTAAGAATTTAGATTTACCTTTTCCAAATATCAAGATACTTAAAGATTCAGTCTTCTGAGATTCCAACACTCCAAATACAGGAAAAGTTCCTTTTGGCTTCTTTGTTTCTTAGCTTTTGGCTTACACCTCGGAAAGATAAGCTCAACCACACAAAATGAAATGGTTCTGCTTTCCATTCATGCCCTAGGACTGAACCAAACTAACAGGAAAATGATGTGGGCTGATCTCATATATGGTATGGTGATGAAGATCACAAACCAAAAGAGGATCTTGAAAGTTTTTATTCAAGATGCAAATGAAATGACTATGGGAAATGTTAACAGCAATAGTTATTTTGTTGTTGTTGTTCAAGCAAAGACAGAGACAAGGTTATTTAAAAAATTTTAAGTTAAAACAAAAGCAGTGTGGAAACCAGCATATTTTGTAACAATAATTTAAAATAACTCAAACATCCATCAAGAAGATAATGGTTAGATAAATTATGATACATCTATTCCATTAAATACAAAACTAAGGATTTTTAATAATGGAATGATAATAAGCATCTATTAAGTAATTACTACAAAACACATCTATACTAATAACGATGAGAGAGAAACATCGATCAGCTGCCTCTTGCACATCCCCCACCGGGGATGTGCCCGCAACCCAGGTACATGCCCTTGACCGGAATCGAACCCGGGACCTCTCAGTCCGCAGGCCGACGCTCTATCCACTGAGCCAAACCAGTTTCGGCCAAAACTAAGAATTTTTAATAATGGAATGATAATAAGCATCTATTAAGTAATTACTGCAAAACACATCTATACTAATAAAAGGGTAATATGCTAATTAGACCGGACATCTTCCAGACAAAGCCACAGTGGCGGGGGCTGAGGCAGAGGCAGTTAGAGGCAATTAGGTCGGTAGGGGAGGGCAGTTAAAGGTGACCAGGCCAGCAGGGGAGGGCATTTAGGGGCAACCAAGCCAGCAGGGGAGGGCAGTTAGGGGCAATCAGGCCGGCAGGCAGAGGTGGTTAGGGGTTATCAGACAGGCAGACAGAGGCAGTTAGGGGTGATCAGGCATGCAGGCAGAGGCAGTTAGGGGCAGTCAGGCAGGCAGGCAGGTGAGCAGTTAGGAGCCAGCGGTCCCAGATTGGAGTGGGTGCAGGCCATGCTGAGGAACCACACCCCCCCCTCCCCGTGCATGAATTTTGTGCACCGGGCCTCTAGTAATTCAATAATAGAGAAAAAAACGGAAGCTATTATCTCCATGTAACAAAAGAAACAAATACAAAGAAAGGTTTTACACTTGTTGAAGACCAGAAAGCGAGGAAATGGTGGAACTATTACGTGCACCAGGCAATTGAATTCAGAACCCATGCTCTTAATTACTACACTGTATTACTTTCATGTGTACTGATGGAATGTGAGTTTCAGACAACATATACAGTATGATTGCATCATATATTGAACATGTAATATGTGCCAGGCACTTTTCTACATATTTCACATGTACTAACTATATAATCTTCATAACATCTCTATGAAACAGATATTATAATTGCCATTTTACAGACAAGGAAACTGAAGAACAGAGAAGTTAGATAAGATGCCCAATACCACACAGTTGTAAGTGGTATAGAGTCTGGGTTTGGACCCAGGAAGCCTGGCATCAAAGACTGTGCTTAACTTTCCTGCTATAACTGACTTTTTCTCCCTCTTAATTGAACTAATATATGTAATTATGTTTGTGGAAAAGGGTATAAATCAAACTGCTAATAATGGTTTATTCTGGTAGTAGGTGGCACATAGATGGTGAATGGGTAATATTACTTTTTACTTCCAATATTTCTATGTGGTTTGAATACTTCTACAAGGACCATGTATTCATGTATTATTTGCACAATTGAAAAATAAATAATTCACATACATAAAGGACAAGAAAAATTATTATACCTTCTTTAGAAATCATTTTCCCAATCTTACAAGTGTCTGCCACATTCGTTAGAATGATTTTAAACCCAGATACAAACTCCCAAAGTATACTGAGAAGCATAAACAAAATTTCTACATAGTTGATACTTTGGGCTACAATTATCAATGAAGCTTTTTTTTAGCCAATAATTATTTTAAAGTAATTATCACAAATATCCCATAGAATAGGTTAATTCTAAATTTGTTTTTTTCATTTTTATTTTTTTTAAATTATGGGTGTGCCATCCTATATAATAAAAGCCTAATATGCAAATTGACTGAACAGTGGAACTACCTGTGGAATGACTGGTCACTATGATGCGCACTGACCACCAGGGGGCAGATGCTCAATGCAGGAGCTTCCCCCAACCTGCAGGCCCCAGGCCAGCCAAGGCGGGTCCAGTGGGGGCCCCCGATACCCCCACCAGTCGCCTCCCACAGATGGGCCCTGATTGCCAGCCAGGCCTAGGGACCCTACCCACGCATGAATTTTATGCATCGGGCCTCTAGTTGGTTAATAAAATTATGTAAGTCATACCAATAAATGTATGTTAGGTTGTCAAAGATATCATCTTATAATTAATACTGTATTAATTTAGCTTAAAACCAAGGGAATGGCTCACAGTGAAATACAAAAATGTCTCAATCCCACACAGGTTGCCAGAAAGATAA